AAGCTGTCAAAGGCAGTCCTCCAGGCCTGGGAAGAACTGGTCCCAAGCTCTTCTACCCCCACCACTGGACCTGGTCTGCTGCTCCCCACCCCTTGCTGCCGCAGCAGGCCAGCTTCTCTCCCCACTTTGGGCCTGCTGCTTCCCTCCCCACCACCATGGCAGCTTGGGCCCACTGTCCCCCCCTACTTCCCCCCCGTTGGGAGGCAGTAATGCAGGAGAGAGAGAGAGAGAGAGAGAGACAGAGAGGCAAGGCCAGCAGCACTAGCCTCAGCCCCCACTTCCACATTCGCCACCAGTGCTGCTGCCCTCGCCCCTCCACCCCACCCACCATTGGGCCCCAACCCCGCTCCCCAGCTGCCACCTCCAAGGAGCAAGGATCGGGGGAGGCCTCCCACTTTGTCTGCTCTGTTGCTGTCACCCTCCTGTTCCGTCCCATGTCCCCACCATCATGGCAGTGCTCTACCACCTTCTGTCCAAATGCTGTATTCGCACTCTGATTGGTTGTTTCCATCAGCCAATCAGAGTGCAAATAAAGCATTATGGAAAGACAGACAATGGCTTTTATATTACTAGAATTATTAGGAAAAGTATTATAAGTGTGATCTATAGAATATACAGTGTGATCTATAGAATATCTTCTAGAAGTCCTATTGCTCAAGGCATTTAAAACTAAATTAAATGATGCACATTAGAAAAACATACTATAAGGAATAATCTACACTGGGAAGGAGATTGATGGGACAATTCTGCCACCAATGAACTGCAATCTCATGTTACGAGTATATTAAAAGTTTATTTACCTGTCTGGGTTTATCAGAGATCGAATAGTAATGGCAGCCTTCAGACGCTGTTTAACATCTAGGTAGCTAGAAGGTTCATCAAACATGAAGCTACCCCAAAAGAGAGAGAGTAGAAAGTATTAATAAATATAAAAGTTTAACAGAGCAAACTTTTGCTGTCCATAACAGCCACCTGAAATTTAAGTGGTAAAAAAATCACGTTTCTCCACTCCAAATAATATTTTGGAGGGTTAGTTTTTCTATGCACACGTACCTTAATTCTTCTGGCCACTATGTAAGGTTGCTAAATAATTTAAGTTAAATATTCCTTTGCTAAAAATTCTGATAAAGTTATCCAAAGTTGACTACTTCTAACAATCTGTTTTGAATTACATGCACTAAAATCTAATTGAGTTTAAATTTAACAGCTTTGTGCATTCCAAAGTGAAAAAAATACTAGTGTAAGGATTAGAATATGGAGGCTGCCACGCAAAGAAGAGGCCTCTGGAATTTAGCCAGGGGATAAGAGAGTAAGGAAGAGCAGCAATTACCTTGGAAGATACCCACACACTAGTTGTGGGCTTGATATAACATATCATTGAGAAAAATGTTTTTAATACTTCAAAAAATATCACCAGTGCCGTTTCCTCCTGCTCTCCTCCTTCCCCCCACCCCAAAACTATTGGCTCCCAATATTAATACTGAATTATAAGACCAGAACCTGAGACAGTTTCCTGGGAATGAAGATGCAATAGAAAAATCAAACATACATGTCAGCCTTCTGAATACAAACAACAGCACAAGCAAATCTCTGAAGTTCTCCTCCTGAAAGGTCCTCAACATTCCTTTCTTTTAGATGGGTTAAATCTGCAAAGATGTGTTACGTACAAATTAAAAGCTATAATAAGCATCCAACTTGGAGATGAAATTTATTGTGAAAAATCTGCTCATACATAATATGTATTTACTACACGGGGATCACAATACTGCCGGAAAAATCAAGCTATATTAGCAGCAACATTAAGTGACAAGGGTTTTTTTTTGGTGGTACCCTTTATTGGATGAGCTGTGAAATTGGGAAAAACAGTAGACAAAGTTTTATGGCTACAAAATCACAACAGTCCTGGCTGAAAAGTAGAGTTTCCACTTTGCAAGGTCTTCTTTAGAGGGGTGGAAGGGGGTGGTTATTTGGATTAAAAGGTCTTTTCCAAATAATCCAGAAGCTTCCCAGACCCTACACCTGCTCAGTGAAACTGCTGTTCTTGCCAGTTTTCCTGCTGTTCTAGCAGGGAAGAGAACAAGGCAGCTCATTTCATTAAGTTGCTGTAAGGAACTCCCAGGACCTCCGCCTCCAGCGCAGACCTGAAAGGACTCACTCTCTTTGTTTTGGCAGAATCCACAAACATTTTGGCATCAAGGAACTGTCATTTTCAATTAAGATGATTCACTGGAAATTTTCTAACCAGTTCTGTGCATCATCCCAGGCAAATTCACTACAGCACAGCTACACGCGTGTGCGCGGGCGTGCGCGCGTGCGCGCGCGCGCACACACACACACACACACACACACACACGCACACACTTCCATACAAAAAGCATTTGAAAGCTGAGGATTCTTAAACTCTGGTAATATTTTTTAGTTCCAGTGGAAGACAGAGGGTGCTAAAATATGGTCAGATTTGATTAGGCACAGATAGCAGATGCAAATTTAAATTAAACAAAGTTAAACTCTTTATAACTTCCTAGCTTTCAACACAAATGCATTAAAACATGGGAAGACATGGACTGAAGATTGCCAATGCCGCTGCATTAGTGTTCATGCTAACGTATTAGTGCTCATGATTGGAATTTTTCGAGTAATGCAAATTACTCAAGACTTTTTTTAAAGTGACTTCCTGGCAATAGGAAGTTACTTACCAAGCTGCTGGCACACAACAGTCTGCGTCTCAGTTTCATCCTTTCTGTCCAAAATAGACCCCACTGTTCCCTGCCATGATAAATGTAAGAATCAAAGCTGTTAATATTTAGTGGTTTCAGATACCAGTGGATAAAATTTCTCAGTAAAAATCTTTGTATCTTTATGAAATAATGAAGGGAGGCATGTCATGTTCTCCCTGCTAACTGAAGAAGTTTCTTACCTTTGCAGCCTTAGGGATCTGGTCCACATACTGAGGTTTAATGATGGCTTTGAGGTCATCTTCCAGGATTTTGGTAAAGTAATTTTGCAACTCAGATCCTCGAAAGTAAGTCAAGATTTCTTGCCAATCAGGTGGATCCTATACAGAAATCAGATATTTAACCATTTTACCATGCAACAATATGTGTATTTCTAAAAGCAAATCACAATACTCATATTTGAAGGATATCAACACAATACAACTGGACTTCAGATACATGCAGTAACAACAAAACAAATGGCAAAAAGCAACTACTTAGTTACTATGCTTTCTTTCCAATAGACATAAAAAACCTAGGTTAGTACAAGGATCTCTATTACTTTTATCTTTCAGGTGTATTACATCCCTAACTTCTGGCAGCTGAAACACACAGTATCTTTAGAAACAGTCAAAAGAATGCAAGTAGTATGCTATCACTTGCTTTAATAAATCAGTATCTGAAAAAAACCAACACTGGAATAGGCAATTCTATTAATTGATTGCTTCTACAAAATAAGAATTGCACACTATCTGGCCCAGCCAACCCTAACATAAAAGCTTGCCTCATAAAATAGCACTTGCAGAAAAGAGACAAGAAAAACTGGTCTACTTCTGTGTCCAAATAGACAGTTGTCAGACATAAAGCAAGAGAGAAAAGTTTGGAAATAAAAGGAAGAAAACACCAGGAGGAGGGAGAGATTATGAAATTAAAAAAAAAAAAAACACAAAACAACCTTCTAGAGTAGAGAGGGACTGAGACTTAAGACTCCCCTGGTCTCATTTTAGGTAACGTGCAGCTCTGTATTGTGCTTAAATACCAAATTATAAGTGCATTGTAATATTTATAAAACATTAAACTAAACATGGGGCTTATGGATTTAGATCACAGGTGTTCAACACCTGGCCTGTGGACCAGATCTGGTCCCTGCAGTGTCATCTGGTCTCCAGGGCTCCCCATGGGTCTGAATAATTTGGTGGGGAGGGGAAGAAGGGGGAAGTGGCTGTACTGCTTCCCTGCTGCCAAATTTTCAGACCTATGGGGAGCCCCATGAGCCAGACAGCAAGATCCTGTTCACAGCAGGGTGGCTTGGGGCTTTAGAGGTACAGCACCAGGACTCAATCCCAACCATGGAGAGCTGATCCACGTGCACTGGACCAGGATGGTATGGGACCGGATGCAGCCAGTGGACTGGCTCTGTGCCACTCATTCGGCTTGCAGGGCCAAAACACTGAGCAGCATTGTTTTAGGTGAGTTGCCCGTTTGTGAGGAAGACAGATTAAAAACCTGTAAATCCTGGGAAAGAACTAAAGTCCGAACAAAAGAATGATCATTTTACTTATTCTAGAAAACAGTTATTACAAATAAAAAAACCAAACAAACACACATGCTAAAAATGTGCAGAAAACTTGTGAATACATTAATTATCTGCTGGGTAGAGAACTGCATATTTATTGTTTTTGTAACCTGCTTTGATTCTTGTGTTATAAACAAATTGTTATTAAGTTTCTTTCAACTGAAGTAGAAAATGTTAAAGTCTGACCATGTTTTCTCTTTCATGGGAGAGGGGGAAAAATTGGGCCTACAATTTCAACTGGATCTGTTTAGTGTAAAAAGGCAGTTGTCACGTCCTACCTGAACTTTGATAGTGGTCATGGAAATCAGTATCTTACATAGGAATGATATTTGTTAGATCCTGTACTTGTATAGTGTTGATTTTACTTGTCTATTATCTCTAATTATTTTCACTTCCAAAAGACAAAAAGCCTAGGCAGAGAAAGAGCTCCATGCATGCATTTCACTTTCTCGTTTTACAATTTTACTGATATCCAAAGTATCAGCAGCATCAGATGAAGAGTGGCAGCCCTTAAGCTGTACAGATGAATGTCTGAAAAGAGGTACTACCAAGTTTAGTAGTATCTAGACCACCTAAAAGCATAAGAGAGTTCAGCATGATCAGAACTTATTTTTTAAAGTTTCAATGTAGGAAACTCCATCAGCTCTTGGTTATCCTGGGAAGTCTATGTGAGCACAGAAACATATACTTGGAAAATGAAGGTCAACAGAATGTCTTGAATTATTCCCCAAATGTCCCCATCATTCTGAAGAGCCAGAAGTGGAAATCACAATTAAAAGTGATTAGTAAAAGAGTGTAGGTGCCATTCAACAAACACTTCATATGAAGTGTTCTATTGCCTAGTTTAGCAGCAATTCTATGATTCTAAATTATAAGAAACCTTAATGGAAACGTGAAAGCTGGAGAAAAAACCCAGCAATATGAAAAAGCCCACAAAACACTCTTCAGGAACAAAAAGAGAAACATAACTTTAATAGGAACCAGATTTCCAATCTCAGTCTTTCCGTGAGTTATATTTCTATCTGTCTTAATGGATTTATTTTGTAAAATAAATAAATAAATAAAAACATAACTTATTTAAAAGTGTGTATGTTTAGATGATGTAGAAAGACTTTGGCTGTTAAGAGTTTGAGTATCTTTGCAAGATCACCTTCACAAGAGCAAAAATTCAAAGTGGAAAAAAATCTATCAATAAAATCATGATCTTCAATTTTCTACCAATACATACATCGTATTTTCCAAGGTTTGGCTTCTGTTTTCCTGCTAAAATTTTCAAGGCAGTTGATTTTCCAATACCATTGGTTCCAACTAATCCCAGTACTTCACCTGGACGGGGAATAGGCAACCTGTAAATATGCAATGTAAAACCAGGTGAATGCAACAAGATATTGATACCACCAAAGTTAAAACTTGCTGATTGATTTAACTCATCTCATGGCATTTCCATATCAATAAACACTTCACATTAATCAAAGAAAATAATACACAAGCTACAAATTGGTGCAGGGAGTGGGGGTGGGCACGACTGGACATTAAAAACTATTAACTGCAAATTTCAACTGCTAATTTACTTCTTCTCTTCTTTCAAAGAAAATCATTTTGAAGTGATACAATGTACTCCAGGGGTCGGCAACCCCTGGCACATGTGATGAACATGGCACGTGAGGCGATTTTGCTTGGTACGCCACAGCCAGCCCCGGCTCTGGGTAGCTGCTGCCAGCGATGGAGCCTGGGCTGCTCCCAGCAGGGCTTGCAGCCTCCCAGCTGCCTGCTGGGAGCAGCCTGGGCTCCCAGCTGGCAGCAGCTACCCAGAGCTGGGGCTGCCTGCAGCTGGGAGGCTGCAAACAGCTGTGCCAGGCTCTGGAGCCCTGGCATCAGCTCTGTATCAGTGCGCACATGCATGCCTTGAAGCAGGCAGTGGGGGGAGGGGCCTGGGGCAGCACAACCCTGGTCTCTCCCCCGCTCCCGGCACACAGCTGGTGACTGGGCTCTGGAGCCTGGCGCAGCTGTTTGTAGCCAGCCTGGGGTCTGGGCAGCTGCAACAAGCAGGCTGCAAACAGCTGCGTTGGGCTCCACAGCTCCGGCATCAGCTCCATGCTGGTGGCGACTGCATGGGTGTTGTGAGGGTAAGTTCACTGATGTCTGCAATAAGCTGATGCCCTGTGGTGGGGAGTAAAAGAAACATATTCACTAGCAGGATGCCCCAATCCTAGAAGTGTCTATATTAGTGCTAGGTATATTTTATTTACAATGTTTTACATTGACCCTCCTGCACTCAGAGCTGGCAAATAAGAAGCCAAAAGACCAAAAACCACCAAAAGACAAACTCAAGACTTAGGTCACAGACTTATTTAGATTACTGCAAGAGAAGTTCAGGATGACATTCTTTTGAAAACTGAGCCATCAGGTAAGCTAATAACTTAAAGCCTTAATACAACAGTAAAGACAGGCTGCAGATAAAAAAGAATCTTAAATACATAGCTTGTGCCAAGGTATGGATATCAAAGAGTACATCACCCCATTTCCACTAAATGTGGACTGATACATCCAGGTGCTTATGTGCATTGGATGTTCATTTAAAATTGGCAACTGTAAAAAGTTTACTTGGGGAGGCAGGAGCAATGATGGTGGCAAACAACAGACAGACAAAAAACCCACATGTACCTGTGAAGTTTGAAGGCATTGGCACAATATCGGTGTGTTGTTTCTTTCTCCAGGTTGCTAGGTAAGTTAACAATTGACAAAGCTCCAAAAGGACATTTCTGCAAGTTAAAAACAAACACTTTACTCCACTAGAACACATCTGTCCTTTTGAAAATGAGTTCTATACTTTTTCTTTCAAAATTAAGTATCTGACAATCTAAAAACTGAATCTATCTTTTAAGGTAGAGTACATTACACTAATTCTTATCTTCACTTTTAAACTGTTTCTTATTAAAGGATGTATGTTTAAAGGAAATAAAAAACCCTTTTTACCTTAATGCAGATACCACAACCAATACAAAGTGTTTCAGAAATCCATGCTATTTTACTCTGTGCTGTGACTTCTATGCATAGTTTCCCTGTTAAAAAAAAAAAAAAAAAA